ACTACCAGGCGAAAAATACCCAAGAAATTCCTCGATAAACAGGAGCTGGCCTCTCGTCCATCACCTTCATGTACACCAAAATATGAAGTCATCTCCAGTCGCAGCCTGACTGGAGAAGACCTTTGGAATTCATGTCACCTCCAAACAGCTGCGAAACTTCTAGTATGGAGTCACCCATGGATAGCTACCTGGAGACCAGTACTCTCGATCTGGAAGACCTCCAACATCGAGCAGCTCCGACAACGTCGCTACGGTCCAGGATATCATCTTCACCGCAGTCGCCAAGGCGCGGGTTGATGGTATGGACCGGAAGTTCCTGGAATGGGAAGACCGATATTTCTTCGTGGACCCCGGACTGAAAGTGAACGCTGACGGTTACATCGACCAACTCGTGGAGAATATCCTGCCTTCATGTCATCGCCTGTACCTTCTTGGAAACTTCGTACTGCTACAGGATTGGGTGCCACCACATGGAATCGAAGGGCGTTGGAAAAACTCGCCTACTTGGAATGGAAACGTGAGTACCTGAAGAAGACGGAATATCCAAGTGTGTCACCTGACCTAAACCCCCTCGATTACCGGGTTCGGGAGGAGCTCAACAGGGGTCTACAGTGGCGGAGAAATCAGCGACATCGCTGAACTCAGGCATGAAATTACGGCCGCGCGGCAATCCTCAGTAGTCGTCCAGAAGGCTGTGGTGGAGTATTATGATAGTGTACAATGTGTTGTTGAATTTTATGGTGAAAATGTCCTATCAGAATTAAATAAAGTGTAACTTATATCGCCGAAAGTCGAGAAAAAGGTATCTTTTTCGACCCCCTGTATATCGGGTTAGGATAGAGTTCGGTTGAGCTACAGTTTGATTTGTTTTGAAAAACTTTTTTTTTCAGATTATCATAAGCGTTGTGATGGGTGTCGCTAGTGTTCAGCTAATATTTGGTGCGATAAGTCGTATAGCGGCTGCGTATAAGTTCAATGCGTATGGTGAGTATTATTATCTTGATGACTGATACCGGTTCTAAAGAGCTGGGATTTTCTTTGAGTTTACCAAGAAGCATTTCCCAGCACATGCTCCTCAAAATTACATGCGCGCATGTATTGAGTTGCATTGTAAATTTCTAAACGAAGAACAATAATTGAATTTAAGTAAGTATGAGTATTAGTGTGAGTGTGAAAATAGTTTTGCATGGGTTTGTCTCTTCTCTCTCTTGGTTTAAAATGACTTTATGGTGTTCATGCTCTCTAGTATTGACGAAAACCAACGGTTGCTTGTTATTGGTAGCATTCTCCCCTCCAATCGTTATCTAGCTTTGGCGGTTATATAAGACTGTCCCCGTGACAATTTTCCAGGCAAGGTAGAACTCTCCATATTTTCGAGCAGTATCGTATTGTTTTGGCGGTTCGAGATGGGTTCCACCAAAATCTTTTTGTCAAAGGAAAGTAGCTTCTGTCAAAAGAATGGAGGGCTGCTCGACTTTCTGCTACTCACTGATATGAACTGACATTTGTGCACGTAACAGGAACGGAAACATAGCTTCTGACAATTCATCAATCGATAACTGCTATAGTTTTACCTGGTGTGACCCTTTTCTGATGGATTATTATCGGCTGGTGAATAAACAGTTAGAATCTTGTTTGTAGAGGTGCTACCCGTTCTAACTGTTCTAAATTTTCCTTGGTGGTTTTCTGTAAACCCTTCACGGGGACCACAGAAAAGTTGGCGATGTCCTTCGTTGCAGCGCCTTGGGAAGATGCCGGTCGTATTGCATGACCTCTTGTCATCAAAGGTGGAGGCGGGCAGGAGAATCGTAAACTGCCGCTTCGTCGCGCGCGGCGATTGGCGCGACGTCTCTTAAATTCGCCCTACCCTTTCGATGGAGCATCGGATTCTATGTAGACAAAGAAATGGTGGACACTTATGTCTGTTTTTGGTCATACGGTCTCTGTTCTCGACCAATACCATGAAAAGCAGCGGGGAACGTTAAATTAATAAGCCTGATAGAGTTGGTCTGATAAATTTGGTAGGCCTTGCTACGTGATGAATCAGGCGAATCAGGCAAGATAAGATGCTTTTGACATGCTCTAATTGTTTTCAAATATTCAGCCTTTAGGTATTGGTGAGGAACCCACGCTAGACGTGACAGTCACTTCTGCAACAATTATGGTTTGTACGGTGATTGTGAAGTTTTCATTGTTTTGCATCTGCCAAAAGTGAGTAATTACAATCACATTTTTGGCGTAGTTCGGCGACGAAGAAGGAGGGAGGCATTTTGCACTTTTACCTGTCAGGTTTTGCAAATTAATGAAATACCATGGAAATACCATTGACTCTGGACGCGCTTGTCCCAGCTTCGCGAGAGTGCACAGGTTTCACCAAAAGTGCTGAAGCAGAGAAAATGGAAAAATCCCCTCCCCCTGTGTCGTCAAACTGCGCCTACATTTTTTTATTATTTGCACTTATTACCTAACATGAAGTTCTGCCTAGCCAGTGTTTTCAAAACCTGACTTATTGTTGGTAATGCGTTATGAGAACTAATATTTCTCAGTATTTACTGTAGTTTAGGCCTGTTATGTTTAGAATTACAAAAGTTTTTTATTAATTTTCAATTACAAAAGTTTTTTATTAATTTTCAAGATATAAGTCGGATCCGTCGATAGCTGTGCTAGCCATGGATCATAGGAATGATTGTTTGTCGAATACGGTGGCTCTTGCTTGTGCATGGCTTGGTAACATGTGAGTGTTTCGGCTATTTTTCTACGACCCTAATTGCCAGAGCTCATTACTATTATCCTTAGTTTTATTATATGTGAATGTGAAAATATGTTGAGTTTCAAGGTACTGGTATTACCTTGATCCGATTGGTGCGATTCTGGTATCAGTGTACATTCTCTACACATGGGTGAGCACTGGTTGGGATCATTTATCGAAGCTCAGTGGAAAATCGGCGGAACCAGAGTTTATTAATCGCATCATCAAGGTAACCTCCATTTATTTACATAAGTTTGGCTAACGATAGTCTTCAGTGGATCTCAGTAATCTATGGAACTCCCTCAGCTCACCACTGAACCACTTGGTTCCGAAATTCCTCATAAAAATTTAGGCAATATGACAATTTGGGCTTTCTGTCACCGTCTATGTCGACTTCTTATCAGATTCCTATCAGATGCATTCATTTCCTATTTCCTATGTTCCCTTCCTGCTCTTTCTCTTTCTAGAAGCGAGGTCGCACTACTGCTCGAGCCGGCGCTATGAATTTGATCACCATCCTCTTCAAGCTCTCTCTCCCCCCCTTATAGGATTTAATCTGCTGCTATCACTACTTGTCACCCACCCATAGTGTTCTCATCACTCCCCTTCTATAACTCTTTAGAAGGAGCACCAAACTACTAACTAACCCAGCAGTTATCTAGGCCCTAAAGCTATATCTA